AAGCTCATGGAAGAAGAAATCAAAACAATTCAACAAGTTAAAAGAACAAAACCGAGAGCATCTGTTCCATATTTAGTTGAAGTCATTGCCTACACGAATCCAACTTCTTGGGTAAGCAAGGAAGATGATGAGATGTCGAGTGATGAAGAGGAGGTTACTTCAAAAGTAACAAGTCCAGTGGTGAAAGAAGAGAAGGATACTATGGAGCTTAGTGTGAAGAAAAATTGAAGACTAAAGGGATAAAACGCAAGCTCGATGGAGACGAAGTCAAGGCTAAAAAGGAGAATTCTAAAAAGGCATATATTCGTCGAGTTCAAGCTTACAAGAGGCGTTTCAAGGAACAAAAGATCCAAGCTGTGGACTCTTCAAACGATTCAACGTAAAGAGGCACGGAGTCCGGCTTACGACTCCTTCAAAAAGAAGCGCTTCTCGGGAGGTAACCCGAGCTCGGTTTGAATTTTCTTTTCCTTTTTGCATTTAGTTTAGTTTTTTCATTTTTAGACATTCAATCATCTAATCATCCAAATTAAGTGGTAGAAAGTTAAGTGTGGGTGTTCCTAAATTAAGTGGTAAAATTAGAAGAATTATTAATTAGGCTTATACTTTTCAATCAGACATAACTCGCGAGGTGAGCGCGAAGAAATTCACCTCGTGAATCCATAATGCATACGGGGAGGGGCATTTTAGCGCAATAATTCTATCAGCCCGTTATTGATAAAGAAGATGGCCAGCCACGTTAGTCCACAAAAAACTCACGAGGTAAGTCATAATAAACTCACAACGTGAGTTTTGAAACACACGGGACCACAACTTAAACAATTCAGAATCCTTTGACCAAACCACTTTTCTACCCTCACAAAGTGAAGACGGTCCCCTGGTCCCCCCCCCCCCCCATCCGATTTTGGCCTTAATCAAACACAAGCTACTCGTGTGCTTACGTAATCTCTCCTTTAAGGTAAACATCTTGCATTTCTTTTGGTTGACTTTCACGAGTTTGTTGATTTAGGGGCTAGGGTTTTTCATATGTGTTAATGTCGAAATTTGGCCTAAATTGTGTTATTCATCCATCATATGTTACTTGATTTTGCTTAAAAATGGTTTATGAGTAAACCCTAACAACAAAATTAAGTCCCGACTTCTGATTTTTTTTTAGACCATTTCTCGCTGTGTATAGCGAACTCACGAGGTGAGTTTCATATGACTCACGACGTGAGTCCGGTGCATCAACAAAACTGTTCTGTGGTTATCTAAAATATTGGATATTTGGTTTTGTGTTTGTTGCTTGTTTATTTTTGAAGAAAAATGGCACCTTAATTCATGATATCATTCATTAGAGAGTGTTGAAGGAGGTGATATTTTGGTTAAACAAGTTTGCACCCTTAATTCAGTAAAATAAGATAGTAAAATAAGATGAAGGGATAAAATAGAAAAGTTTTTTTTTATTAAAGTTGTTGCGGTTTTTGAGTTTGAGTATTACTCTTGTAGACTTTAGTATAAACAAGCGTATTACGTTGCTTTGTAATCCATTCCCCTGTTCATTTTTCCTTTTTTATTCTTGTTCATGTGTTCTTCTTTTCTGATGTTACCTTAGTGAATAAGGTTAAGATTTCACAACAACCCTGCGTTTACAGATATTTAGATTAAAGAATTCAATAAAAGTGACTATAAAATATAAAAATTGAATATGGCGACTCAAATATGGCCCCTCTGTTTACTTATATATTAGGATTAACGAAGTCAATAAAAGTGGCTACATATGGAAAAAAATGAATACGGTGACTCAAATATAGGCATGAAAATTTATCTCATGGTTTTCAAGAAAACAATTTATAAGTTTGACTAAAGAATTTGAGTTAGATGATCACAAGAAATCAACACTAACAACAAAAGAACGCAATGCGATCAACACGGAGAACAATAAAACCACGATATAAAATTTGAAACCAAAACGGAAAAACTATTATGAATCGACACTCTAATTAAAAGATTACATTATTTATAATATCTCCAAAGAACACACGATAGAAATAGAACCTGTAAGAATGCATAAATTGTTTAGTTTAACAATGGTTAATGTTGTTACCTGATGTGTTGTTTTCTGTTTAGTATGATGCAGCTTCGAAGAAACAATGACCGAAGTAAAAACGTATTCCAACAAATGATTTGCTTGAGAAGAAAGAGACGTAAAGAGGCATAGATTTATTGGATTTTTAGATATTATGATAATCTTTAATAGTCATAATTAAGTTATTCTTAGTTAAATCAGTGAAGTGATAACGAGTTCAAATTTCAAATCCCTAAATCTATCGTAAAAAATCGGGTATATAAATTGACATTAATATGTTTTTAAAGATATATACCAAAAAGTATTCCCGATAATTCAATTTAATTTTGGCGAGTTTTAATAATCTTTATTAGATATGCTAAATTAAAACATAATATACGTTTTATGAAATTGGTGCACAAAAAATAAAAGGGTTTGACCAAATGATGATGTCAGCAATATAATCTAAAGTGCAAAATATAGGATTGAAACGTAATCGAGGGTCCTTATTTCTTATTTTACAATTAAGATTCTCTTTTTAATAATAGTTAAAGATTACACATTGTAATCCAATAATAATTCTTTTATAGGTGTTATTTTCGGAACCTATAAATAAAAAAAGTAAACATGCAATAATGAGGAACACCTTCAATAATTTTTTCTCCATTAAACGTCTGCCACTTGGTGATACATATGACTAGGCAACCGAGGCTCTAATACAGCAACTAACGGGGACTTCCTTTTTGCAGATAGTCCATACACCTCCTCCATTTTTATATCTTCACATCTCATATTTCCAGGCAACTTCCAGTTAAACCCATGCAACATGTTTCCCAATAGCGACCTCATCATCTTTAATGCTAGCCTATAACCAGGGCACATCCTTCTACCCGAACTAAACGGCAATAACACAAAATGATGCCCATTTACATCTATATCGCTACCCAAAAATCTCTCTGGTCGGAAACTGTCCACGTCATCCCAAACAGCCGAATCCCGTCCAATGCTCCATATGTTGATAAAAGCTATTGTGCCTTTTGAGATGTCGTATGTGTCCACTTTGCAATCTTCAAGGGCTAAATGTGGTGCTAGTAAGACCCCCGCTGGGTGTAGCCTCATGGTTTCCTTTAGAATTAAATCGATGAATGGTAGGTTTGTGAAGTCGGTCTCTTGGAGCCATCTCTCTTTACCAATCACCCTATCGAGCTCTTTGGCTGCCTTCTTTATCAGACGAGGTTGTTTAATCAGCTCGCTCATTGCCCATTCTATTGTTGCTGTAGTTGTATCAGTAGCGCCGATAATCAAATCCTGTAACAATGAAAAAGTTTCATGCTACCTTAACATGAAATTCATCGATTTTATTTAGTCAAATATATTAAATTTTCTGTATGAAATAATATTCGAGCAGAAAAGAGATGGATTTAGTGCAAGTTGTTCGACAGATACCTGCGTAAGCCCCTTGACAGCGTCAATACTGAGCTTAACTTCAAGATTAAGATCATCTGCTAACTTCAACAACACACTAACAAAATCTCTTACTACAAAACCCTCCTTTTCATCTTTCATCCGATCCTTATGCTCGTCAAATACATGTTCATAAAACTTATGAAATTTCTTGCTTAAAGCCTTCATCCTCTTCACATACCCTTGCAAATCCATAAACCCCATCCACGGCATCCAATCCGCAAGATGAAAAGCTACGTTCAGCACGGAGAACTCATCAAACATTTCTTTAATTTCTTCAAATGTCAAGCTTTCCTTTTCGTCTTTTGATTGGCTGAAGTACTTACGAACCAATACAGTCCTGTTAATCTGACTTAAAATCACGCGCGACACATGTTCTTTTAGCATGATGGGATTTCCTGACATTGAATGTAAACTGGATAGGAAATGATGTGTTTCTTGAACACGAATGTATTCTGTGGAATCAACTCTTTTTGAACTAAAAACCTCGTTAAGGTAGATTTTCCGACCATGCTTCCAGTGATGGTTATATGGAGCGAATAAATTGTCTTGGTGGTTATAGCTGGTATACTTCCCGGCTGCAGTCAACGGCCTGGAAGCGAAAATATGGTAATGAGTTTTCAAGAACAGCTTAGCCATATCTGGAGACGATGCTATTAAGACTGGGACTGATCCAAACTTGAGATACATTAGTTTGCCATAGGTTTGGGATAAATTGTGGAGAGACGGGTGGGGGAGGGGGCCGATTAGATTAAGGTTTCTGATGAGAGGCCACGGTCGAGGACCTGGTGGAAGGTTTTTTCTAGTTCCATGGGGATAGTTCAAGAGTTTAAAGATAAGTAGGAAGATTGAAGTAGCTAAAAGTATCCAAGAAAGAGACTCCATATGCAGATGAAGGGTGAAGGTGGATATATTGGATAATGTGTTTGAGCATTGGGGTGTTTATAACGCAATATTCGCTCTTGTGGCAATATCAGCTTTTTATTTTCGATAATTTACTCAAAAAGAAGGTTATATGAATTGAATTCCCTGCATAACAACCATCGAAGTGTTGACGCTTGAAGCATAACGGATTTGTACCGTTTTACATACACTATAACAAATATATTAATGTGTCCGATTATAAACGTATAAAATGTTGGTTTATTTCCCTTTTGATTACTTTTCTTTATGCAAAAATATGAAAGGAAGATGGAAAAACTTCCCTGTTTTCATGTGTCTGTAGTGTGTGGTGGAAGAGAAAAACAAAAAAATGCCACAAAGTTGACATCTTTTTAAACTTACATAACCCAAAAAGGAAAATACATAATAAATGTCCAATAACTTTACTGGACAATACCATCTACTCCACTATAAAATACAAAACCAAATTTATTTGGTTGACAATCTTCATTAAAGCAAAACATAAGTAAAACACACACCTAGAGTAGGGATGATGAAATGGACACGTGATTCTACCATTTGCTTCTTCTTTTGTTTTATAATAAAAGTTATGAATTATATTAATATTTTCCCCTTAATCCATAATTTTTATTTGCTTTACTCCCAAAAAATTACGCATATCCTCAAACTTCTTGCTTGTCATGGATTTTGTGAGAATATATGTCTTCTATTCCTTGCTCCTCACATGCATGACTTTTATGTCTCCATTCTCAATACACTCACGAATGAAATGAAACCTTGTGTCTATGTGTTTACTTCTCCCATGAAACACTGTGTTTTTTTATCAGATTTATGGTTGATTTGTTGTCAACATGCAGCACCACTGGACTAATTTTTTTTCCTGTTAACTCACTAAGTAACCGATCCATCCAAATCCCTTGCCACGTTGCACTTGTCACCGCCATGAATTCTGCTTCGCATGATGAAAGAGCTACACTCCTTTGTTTTTGTCATGCCCAAGTAACCAAATTTTCATTAAGGTAAAATGTCATTCCTGATGTGTTGTGTCTGTCATTTACATCCCTTGCAAGATCACTATCAGTGTACCCGGTTACAATGTCATCTCCACTCCCCGTGGTGTACATTAAGCCACAGTCAATGGTTCCTTTGATATATCTCAGAATATGTTTCACTGCTTGTAGATGCTTGACTGTGGGTCTCTTCATGAATCGACTTACAATCCCAACAACATAGGAGATGTCAGGTCGAGTGTGTGTGACATATCTCAGACCTCGAATGATGCTTCTATACTCCGCGGGATTTACCGGGTCTCCCTCTTAATCTCTCGTTAGCTCTAACTTGGGTTCCATTGGGTATTTACATGAGTTGCACTTAGCCATGCCTACTTTCTCCAGGATCTTTTTCACATAAGTTGTTTACTTTAGAGTAATATCATCCTTTTGTTGACCCATGTCACACCCCAAAACCGGAACGGTGGAAACGTTCGGGTGTGGAGGACGTCATGTTTAGTATCACAAGACATGCATCATAGAATTCAAAGTAATAAACAACCATTTCATTATAAAGAAAGTGTTTACAAAGTACGTGGTTCACATAACATAGACTACATATGTAAATAACAAAACAAGTCATGAAGCTATTATGATCCATCTTCTGAATCTTAGTGCGCGTACCTGTCTACTGGTCTCCTGAGAATATAAGTTATTTTTAAATAGTAGATCAGCATTTAAG